CCCTTGGTTCAGCCACTTGGAGGAAGACTGCAGGCAGCACTGGCAGAGTTCCTGTTTACTTGTTTTATGATGGTTGTAACGAGGAAGCCATTAAATTAATAGCCGTGCTTTATTTTTAATGCTATGTTTAGCTAATCCTGACTTACAGTGGCACTCCCCACTCACAGAAAATAAAAATCAAACTCACTATGATGGTGGACTCCACCACCAAGAAAATGGGTACGGTGGGATGTTCAAGAGGTCACAGAAGGGAAAAAATAACATATTTTTCATTCCTCCTGAGGGAGTGTCACTCATGTCCCCCACTGGTGGCCATTGGAGAGATTAACTCAGACTGTTCAAGGACTGAATATCACAAAAGCTCTGCCCCACAGGCAAAGAGGAGATGCCCACCCAGAGACTCCAGCAGAGCTGCTCATGTATAGATGCACACGCAGAAGGCACAGCTGGAGTTTCTGGGTGACTCCAATTTGTTTTCTGGTCTTAAACACTGAAGGTAACTTGTTTTTTTAATTCTGTAGAGCAGGCAGTAGGAAGTGTACCAAACTGAACTGCATGCACCAGTTTGCCAAAAATGTTAGCATTAGATGGGAATAAAGACGATTTACCCTGCAGCTGTCACCCCAATATCAACTCAGTATTCAGAAAGGATTTTGGAACTAAGCTTTCAAGGATCCATAAGGAGGTGAATAGATTCCAACTCCTCAAAAAGATCCAAGTGAGCCCAAGGGCTTTGTTTCAATTCACGTCAATTAGCAAACCTGCTCCAAAGATACAAGAAATGAATTTTAAACACACTTTCTGAAAACAAAGGAAGATGCAAAGCAGGAATCAAAATGAGATTCCAGGTCCCTGCTGCCTCTTCTCCTACACTCCCTGGGACAGCAGGCCTGCCATGCAATAGCTCCCATACAGAACAACTCAGGGCAGCAGGAACCAGACAAGTGCTATCAACATCTCGCAGCAAATGGCACAAACAAAATGGCTGGATAAAGCACAAGCTATTCCAATGAGGGCAACCAGGGAGAGCATCTAATTTAGGCCATTCACAAGGGGAAATCAGCTACAGGAGCAGTTTGTTACATAGCCCTGAGGGAACAATTGATTTCAACTTGGAAAGAAAAGTTTGTGCGCTGCTCTCCCTAGGAAGATGACAGAGGAAAGTTTCCTGCCATGCTCTGACCTCTATAAAAAGTCTGAAAGAGCACACGTGTCATTAAATCCAAGACACACTTTTGACTGGGAGCTCTCCTGAGACCAGTGGCTGCTCCATTTGCTTCCTCTGGCTTTACCCCAGGCTGCAAAACCACCACTCTGCCAGCACAATTACACACCAGAGTGGGAGATGGAGGGGCAGCATTACTGGCCTGAACAGCCTCAGCTCAAAGGTGATACAGCCCAATCACCTCAGCCCACACCAACCTTCACTCCCCCAAGGAATCAAGAACAGGGAAAGTGAGGAGGATCCAACACACACCAAGAGTAGAGTGATAGGGCTGACAAGGCAGGTGAGTCAGTTCAGGAATATCACATCCAGCTTTGGACAAGGACAAAACCCACATGAATGGGAGCAGGTGTGGGGTTACATGTCACAGGACACTGAACAGCCCTTTAGGCTCCCATGGGTTCCAAAAAAGGGATGGTAACAGCCTACAGAGGGGGCACAAGACAAGAGAAGAAAAAGGTGGTCTGGACACACATATAAGACTGGCAATGAAGCACCTGAGGGAGTCAGACACAAACAATTTATCAACAAGTTACAGACAAACACTTTTAACCAGTTTGGAAATAAAAAATAACAAGAACTTGAAAGACAAATTGAAAAATTTTGCTTGGAAAAGGAGCACACAGCATGAGATCACAGGACTCAGCAGACTATAAAATAGGAAATGAGACTTACTCTTCTCCCCCTACAGCTACACAAAACCCTCCTACATAGATTACAGACATACTTGGCAATTGCCTTCCTCCTCCCGCCTCTCCTGTTATGGACAAGGCAGAGAAGGTAGCTGCCTAAATGCAGAGAGGATATTAGATAAAACATCTTGCAAAGTCAAGTGTGAAATATTAACAGCAGGAGGCAACGGGTTGAGTTTTTATGCAAGATCACAAATTTGGTGCTTGGAGTGCCGGTGATGTTCTTGCACACTGGAATCTCAAAGTGCTGCTTGTTGAATGTTTCATTTACAAAGCTACTGAGGTCCACTGGAAATTTTTTATCAGTTCTGTTATTTCCTGTATCTTCTCTGAGTTCTCTGGTTTTGTTCTTTTCCCTTCCTGCAATGCTAAGAAATTATGCATGAATAAAAAGGTTGTTCTTTCCATTCATCTGGCAAATTTTAAAACAATTCATACTCTTAAAGCAGGCACTCTGCAAGCTGTATTTTCACATGAAATTACCACAATTGTGTGCATTGCATCCAAATCACCGGATGCATTTGTGCACAAAATTACCCAGCTTGCAGAGAGCTGCAATAAGCAGGCAAGCAAAATGGACATGCACTGCTCAGCTGAAGGGAGCACTGTGCTGCACCTGGCCACAGGAAGGTTTGGTTTTAGCTGGTGAAACAGGTATTCCTGGTCACAAAAGAGCTGCTTTTTATCCAGCACATGCAGCACAGACAGCAGCGTGCCTGGCTGCCTCTACCCCACCTCAAAGTTGCCTTTGGAGGAAACTGCCTCTAATTCAGCTTCCACAATAGATTCAGACCTTGTTTATCCTACTGTCCCAGTTGTCCATGAGTGCCAGCTGTGGTGGTAGCGGTGTGGAAAGGACATCCATTCAACTCTGGACACCAGGCTCCAGGAATAATGATTTCTGCCACTCTGGAGCATAACTGACACCTGCTGTCACAATTTTGCACAGAAACAAAATTGCTCTGAACATCCCACAAGGAGTCAAGGAGAAACATAAGGAGAGGGAGACTAGGAGAAGGTGCAGGGCTTCTTCCTTCTTTTCAAGGGCCTCGGTACTACAGGAGGAGCAAAGATGAGGGGGAAGAGAAAACATTCACTCAAGAAGCTCTGTTACCTGCACATTTTTTACTTGGATAGCAGCTGAGACTCTGCAACTGAACTTCATCTTCAGCAGTTTCCTATGGACATCCCTGGTGATTGTATTTTCCCCCAGGCTCAGGTGTCTGAGCTGGTGATTAGGGCAACAGCAGCAACAAAATTGCTCCTGGGCACTAGGAAACATCAAAAGAAAGGGACTGCCTGAAAGGCAGATGGGGCCACAGTCCCCATGGACATGATCACCAAGAAGTTTGTAGACATTTAGCACAGAATAAGCTAAAATCAAACCCAACACAGCAGGACAGAGGAGATTCTCACTTCAAGGCTGTGACACAAATGAATGTCTCTCCTCAGAAACTTTTGGAGGCAGAGCTAGGCAAGCCAGTATTGAAGTGCAATGACAGCTAAGAGGTGCATTTTCAGCTAACAACCAAGCAGTCCCTCTTCTGGAGGTACTGGATGGCCTTCGAGTGCCACTTTGTCCTTGCTGGGCTGCAAACAGCCGCAATGCACCTGGCCAACATTAGCTGTAGCTGTTACATTTATGATTTTATGGCTGATTCCCCCCCACCCCCATTGAGTTCACTGTCTGAATGAACACATCTGTTTATGTTCCACAGACACCTGTGTATCTTGAGATGACAGCAACTCCCTGAATGCTGTAATCAGTTATTTCTCAACAGAGGAATTGCCAATTTGGTAAATAAAGCTCATTATAAAAGAACATGAAAATGTATTACAGTTGCCTAACAGAGAAAATTGCCCAGCACCGCCAAATAATCAGCCCTGGCATCACAGTCCCCCCCAATTTAGGGCAACTGAAATAATAACATGCAAATTACTCATGCAAGGCAATGCTGGATAGGGGCAAGAGGAAAATGAGGAAGAGACAAAATACATACTTTTCTCTTCAGACCAACAATAATTTCAAACCTAGTCAGGGACAGACCTTGGTGCTCTAAATCTCTCCCTGCAGAGACAGAAGTACTGTGGCTATCCCAAGCAGATCCAAAAGCTGGCATGGCAGCAGCAGCTTAAGCCTACCCAGTCCTGCTCCAACAGATCTGAGGGCACTAATTGTCCTACATTGTTTTAGAAAACTTGCTCTTCCTCCCTCAGGGACAGCAAGTTTGACTTACACAAAGATGCAGAGCTGGAATTTTTGCAAGATCTGAGACTAACAGAGATAAGCCACGCGTAAGCAAGCATCACTGCTGAGGATGAAAAGTGTTGTGGCATCAGCTCTCAATAAGAAGGAAAGGCATTTTGTTGTTTTAATGGAGATGTAAAGCACTAAGTTGCTGTCTAAAGAAAAAAGAGACGAAGCAGAATATAACACAGAAAACAATTCTCAGCCTCTCTCATCCATTTTCATAAATGCTGCATTAAACTCTGACACGACCTCCAAAAATCCATGTTCACATTCTTCAAAAACTGTCAGATACAGTCAGAGAAGGCAGAGGAAGCTAATGCTGCCAGACAGAGAAGCTGTACCGAGAGAAAAGGAATCAGGTTACCAAACTAGACCTGCTCCCCTGGTTTGCTGACAAGCCTTTTGCAATTCTGCCACACCCACCTCTAGGAGAATAAAATTCCAGATGCATCCAGTTTCCTCCATTCCTCAGGCAGCAAGGAGAGGGCTCAACACAGAGCACAAGGATGAAAGGGACAGTGGTTTATGGCAGACACAGCAGGAGCTGCACACAAGAGCTTGTGAAAAGGAAGAAAATTTGGGCTCTGCAGCCAGCAGGCAAAGGTTTTTCCAGTATGATTCCCCACCACCAGTTCCCTTCAGCCAGGACTTTGTACTTTCAAATAAGCCAGTCTTCCCCTGGGACCAAAATGAACAAGTTTGGTGATTTATAAACTGTGACTTGAAATACTGCTATTCCTCACACTCATTTGGAGCTTTCGTTGGCATTGGCAATAGGCAGAAAACAGCAGTTTACAAACTCACGGGACTGAAAGTATCTCACAGCACACAGTGACTGTTAAACACTTTATTGTTTAGGAGGGAACCTTGGAAGGGAAGGAATGTGCCTGCTGGTGTAACCAATGGGAGCATGCTAGGAACAGTTCATCCTAACAAGCTACTCAGGGTTACTTCCAAATACTTCAGACCCCTTTCTCCAGAGCAAACAAACAGAGGCAACAGCTCCAGAAATTCAGATGTAGGTTGGTGAAACCAAAGTTAGAACTGGGTAAACCAGGCTTGTGTTGGAGCAAGACCCTAAGCTATAAGCTATGCTGGAAGCACCTGGGGTCAACATATTCTTTACATTGCAAAGCAATGAAAAGAAACTATAGCATCCCCTGCTCCTGAGACCCTTCTCCCAACCCCAGGAACGTCCAACCAGACTGATACATGCAGGCAGTTAGAAGAGGAATCATGTTGTATTGTCTTGGTCATGGAGGGCAGAAGGCACTGGTTTTGGTCAGTGTCTGTCCAGAAGGATGCTGGAGCTTCCAAGGGCGTCCATGGTCCCTGTTCTCTGCTCTTTGGTGGATGATGTTTATCCAGAATTAACAAACAGCTCCTGGAGAAAAAAGGAGACAAAAGCAAAAGGCAGTAAGCTAGTTATACAGCTGTTGACATAGGAATGATAACATCAGAAATAAAAGAGTAGCACTGGCAGGGTGAAAATCCCTCAGAAAAAACTTCAGTTCTCACCTACTGTAAACCATAAGATATTCAAGGGGAGAGGAGTGTGGAAGCAAGAAAGCAGCTCACGATATCAAACATAAGGCTGATTCTGTGATCAAGAGCACATGGTCAGTTGCAACAATCAGGATTGTGAATCCATTGGCCTACAGTGGGAGAGAACAGCTGGGGCTCCAAGTAAGCCTTGGAGCAGTGAGTAAGTGCAACCCCACACTAAGTCCTGCCTCAGCATAGGAGGACATAGGAGCACTTTGATTAGCTGCCATCAAACACACACACACACACACACACACACCATTCTCTCAGCCTGGAACAGGATCAATACAAGACCACCAGAGAAGTGAGAAGAAGAAAGATGGGGACTCAGAGACCACCCTAACTCCTGACATATCTGACAACCTTTATCCTATTAAGACCCAAGCCCTCCTAAAATTCAAAGCAAAATCACATCTGCTTTGTCCCCACAGAAATCTACTAAGTGGTACCACCTCAGATCCTGCAGGTATCTGCATATGAGCTGTGAGCTTCTGAGGGTTATTGTAAGACAGAAAGCTTCCATTGTTTTTAGGACGGAGATTGCAAAGTCTGCTGTAGCCTTTCCTATTTTTATCTTACCACATCAATAAAGTCATAAAATTGAGCCAACAATGGCATCAGCAGTGGATGAGAACACACATGACACCAGCTGTAACACCTCTCCCCCCGAGGATCTGAGAAATCAGTGCTGGATCCCACTTCCCAGGGTGGGCAATCAGCTCTCCTGCAGCAGCAATGGCATGGCTGTGTCAGGGCTGCAGGAGCAGCAGGATCACAGAGGATAAGCCCACCCTGAGCTATCCTGCTCGTGCTCTGGATACGTGCAGGTCCCTGTTGCAGAGCAGACAGTACTGAGCCATGACAAGAGGTCCCAGCTAAAGCCAACTAGAGAAAGACAAGTGAACACTTCACTGCATACAGTCTTATTGCCCATTTTTATTAAGGCTGTATTTGAGCTCAGTTCTACTCTCCAGATGTTTGGCTTTCTGAGGAGAGGAGATGTGCTTTCCTCAGTGTGAATCAGAATGGAAAACACCACAAAATAATGATGCTAGCATGCTTGGCACTGTCTGTCAGAAGGTGAGGATGTCATCTGGGCTGCTTCTGCACAGCAGGCTGATATTGGCTGATACATGGCCAATGCAGACTGAATATGCTGGCCTTGAATCTCCAAAGACAGCCCCATCTCTGACAACAATGAACTAGAAAAGCTTCAAAGAACTCAAGAATAAAGAGAAAATTGTACACCAAATTATTTAGACAAAGGTTATGCAGAAATCTGACAAATGAACCATCAATAATACTCCACTGACTCTAATTTCCCAGGTAATTTTTCTCATCATTAGTGACTTAAAAGTTATACACAGAGCAATATATTTTAAAAACTCCAATAGCACTCACTGAAATTGCAATGAATGAAGCAGCAACAACTCATGATCAATTTTGCAATGAAGTAATTTGCTGTATTCACATTGTAACACTTCAGTGAAGTGTCCAGGAATGCTACATTTTGTGAAAAAAATAAAACAAACCAAAATCACTTCTGTGCCTACTCTGTGGTTAACCCTTCAGGAAGACAGTAAAACCCCTCTTTTCAAATACTTTTGAAGACTATCAGAGTTACACAATTTCATGCTCAAATCATAACTACATATTTCAACTTCATCTAGTTGCAGGTGTCTCTACCCATGGCAGGGGGGCTTGAAATAGATGATCTTTAAGGTCCCTTCCAGACTAAACCATTATATGATTCTATGATATTTCAACTTATTTCAGGAGGAAATGAAAACAGTCAGTTCTTAACCTCAATGAATTCCTTCCAGCCTAACCTACCCACATACCAGGTATGCACTGTGCTGGAGGCTCACAAACATTCCTTGTGCAAAAACATCAGGTTCCATCTCACTCTGGATGACTAAACCTCCTCAGAATCCTTTGCACAGTATGCCTGGGCACAGAACTGATGGGCTGAGGGACACCCTAACTCTGAGATTAAACCCACTGTTTGCCCACCTAGCTTTGCAACCATGCCAGTGCAGACTTGGCACCCTTTCATTTTCTTCCAACCTGGAATCCTCTCTGCAAGATTGTTACCAGGTTACTATAGCACTTACCTTGAGCAGAAGGAGCCAGGAAAGGGAAGGAGAAGCTTTGCCTCTTCTCCATGCCCTTATCACTGCATATGCACCAGACAAGGTGAAGAGGCAACAAGCCCAGGCAGTTTGCAATCGCTGCTCTTACCAGACAGGATACTCCCAGTTAATGGAGCTGAGGCTCAGACTTAAAAGCTCTGGTGCCTCCTCAAAAAATGACTGCCCTACAGTTGGCATTAGCTAGTCTCTGCTGCAGCTGCAGTCTTAGCAGAACAAGAAGTCAGAGATGAGCAGCCTTGGAGAGTGCATCACACCCTCAGTCTGACAAGAGGGAACAGTGCCCTTCTTCTATAGAGAGGACAGATTATTTTTAATGCCACTGCCAAGGCAATCCAGGTAGAGACAAGGTTCCAGTCTTGATGAGCTCCAGCCCAGCTCCTCTACATATGAAAAGAGTGTCCATACAAAAGCAAATTCCTCATAGCACAGAGATGGCAATCTGCTCAGTCCTGACAGCAAGTCCAGCTGGAGGGCACACAGCACTTGTTTTCTTCCACGCCTCTCACAGCAAATGGGACCTTCGAGCCACTAACTCATGTTCTTCCACCATTGTGACACCCTGCTCAGGAGCTAACTGCAGTCAAAATGGGCTGCTTAGCTGGCACAGCCTGCCACTTTGCAGTCCCTGTGGGAAAGCCAGTAGCTTTCCAGTTCTGGTTTCAGTTGAGTGAGGAGAAAGGGCTGAGCTCTGCAAGTAGATCTGCTCCACAAATCCCACCCCTGCTGAGGAGGGAGTCCAGTCAATGTCCAACACAGTCTTTGTCCTCCAACAGAGCTGAGGCCCTGGTACCCAGCATTGGGGCGAGCAAGCTTCAACAAGATTTTCTAATGCACCTGTTCCTCTGTCCTGGTCCCTCTTTCTCAGTCTGCATGCCAGTGCAGAAGCTCGGGGCTGCCTGGTGGATCTGCAGTATGCTCTCCTCCTCCCCCAGTCACTGGCCAGCTCTGTGCCTCAGCTCTCGGCCTTGCTGGAGGCTCTCAGCCAGCAGAGGAATCTCCCTCCTTGAAAAGCCAGACCCTGAAGAACTTCCTCCCTCAGTGTTTGCCAGAGACACTGTTTGCCAAGCCTCAGTTGTGTTAAGACATATTTATTTAACCAGCCGTTAGTCTCACAGGGTAAACCCTGCAAGTTCCCTCCACCACGTGCCCTGCCTTTGTTTTAACATCCCTTTAAGCAGTTGCACCACAGCACTCACACATATGGGCACTGTGTAGCTATGAAGAAATCAGAAAGCAGATCCCCATGATAAATGACTTGGTGCATTTGGAGTGTCAGTGACAAAGTAGAAATTAATCTCCATAGTTCCTAGTTCCCTGCCGTGTGCAGGCAGCTCTCAACATCACAATACCTGTTGGCACACAGCAGACCTCAGCAACGTGACCGCACAACTTTTTCATCTCAGTTAGTGTGGAAAGAGGCACAAACAAAATACAAAAATCCTGACCTGCCCTAAGATGGGTGTTCAAGGCCTTTACACTGGATGAGGCATTTGTTGCAGGGCTATTAGCACCCCAAAGCGCTGCAAGGGACATTTGAGTCACTTTGGTTTGATGTATGCTGTAGGTATTTTTTGGTTATGTGCAATTTGTTCTGTTACACTCAGAGTATTGGCTATTTTGTGGAGCAGCTGTGCTGACTAATGGATCACAGCACTTCTGTGCCATATAGTTATTGCACAGAAAAGCCTCTCTGTCTCTCTCATCCTTCAGGAGTCCAACAGTTGCTGTCCTTGGGACTGGAATAAGGAGGACCAGTAGCATGCCTGGCAGCAACAAAAAACATTAATTCAAAAAGCTATGAAGAGAGTTTTGTTTTCCCTCTTCTCTGTACTGGTGTTAATAGTTTTGCAAAGCAGGCAAGTTCACCCAATGACTTCTTGGCTACTACCCCAGATGGTGTCTTCAAAGTTGGCTTGACAGCAGAAAAGACGCCTTTCAGAAAACTCACCAGATGCATTGTCAGAACACCCTGGAAATTGCTTTCACGTGGAAGTCTGGTCTACATACCCTACCAACAGAGTGCTAGGAACAGAAAGAGTCTTTCTGGTTTCCTCCTCCCTCTTCTTCAGCTCACAAGAGCCCACTGCTTGCTTTGCTCTGCCTTGACACCTCCCCATCGCTCTGCATCACCCGAATACAAAGTTATTTACCAGCACAACTAATCTCCAGCTGTTCTGAGACTCACCTGTTTGTTCATGCATTATAACATTGATTTCCTCCAGACAGTTGTTCTGATCATTGTTCTAACTCGCAGAGAGCTCCCGTCATTAGCCTTGCTTAACAGGAAATATTTTGCCACTGACTGAGCAGCTCTGCAGTCAGCAGACTGCACAAAAAAATCATCCTGGTTGGGGGGCTGCATCTCCCTGCTGAGCTGGTAACCCCAGACGTCGCAGTAGGGAACAAGCTCAGTGCTTTTGATTTTGGACATGTGCTAGAAAGGAGTGGGGCCAGGAGGAACAAACACGGCTCTGCAAAGGGCTGCTGCTGAAAGGATGACTGTTAATTAATCCACATACAAACCGAGGGCAGTTTTTGCTCAATCGATGTTAATTGCATTTAATCTCATTCTTGCCATTAAGAAAAGCCACCAGGCCAGGCTGATGTCGCTAGTGCCTGACATGTAGATTCCACCCACGTTTGGGAGGCAAGGCAGGAGGAGAAAAGTAATGGAAAGAAAGGAATA